TAGGGCATGCAATTAAAGATGTATCTTTAAATACAGAGCAAAATGAAATGTGAGACTCACGGTGTGTACCTAATCAGAATTGTAGATTTCTAGCTCATAGTCACTTGAATGTGTGGGATAATTATCAGAACAACAGTTAACTATGAATCAATCCTTATCTATGATCTTAAAGTAAAATACTAGGATTAGAAGTCAATAATATAAATAAGCTCCAATCACAGATTGCTCATGACCTAAGAAGTTAGGTATCTTCAAAACACTCTGTGATAGGATATTTTTCTCTGTGCTACTTGAACTGTTACAAATAAAAGCAGTTCCACTATAAATTAGCATTTGAATGCATTGTCTAGCCCTTCCTTCACACCCTTCTCTATGCACAGATGCTAAATAAAGTCCCTTTCCACAAGCATTCCTGGGAGAAAAATCACATTACAGTCACATCTCTATCACCAGATTTAACCAGCTATAACAAAATAACAGAATTTGAAACTGGAATTTTTGAAAATCTGAAAAAAATTCTAATCAGAAACTTTTTGTCTTCTGCCTTGAATAGCTTTTCAATTTAAATATTTTCTGTGTTTTAAAATTTTTTCAACTTAACATTTTTTGAGATAAAATTTTAAATTTACATTATAGTCATTAATAAAACTCATTGTTGTATAGTATTCCACTGTGAAAATATACCATGATTTATTTATTTCTAGTTAACAAGTATTGTGAACAGTGTTTCTATGAACTCTTTCCAACAAGTCTTTTAATAGACATTTATGTGAATCTCTACTGGACATATGCCTGGGTGGAACTACTGGGTCATAAAATATGTATTTGCTTAGCTGATCAGTATTCCAAAGTGATTACAGCTAATTATATTCCCAGCAGTAAATGACAGTTCTGGTTTTTTGATATTAGAAACAACAGTGAATACGATTTGACTTTTTCACTTCAACCATTCTGTATGTATTAGTAGTGTTACATTGTGTATGGATGTGTGTATGTGTATGTAAATGTTTTAAGAAATTACTGCCTACAGAAACTTGCAGATATATATAACACTTGCTAAATCTGGACATGTGTATACATACTTGAGAGTATCACCACAATCAAGGTAAAATGATGAATATATCCATTATACCACAATAGACTTCTTATCATGTTTTAAAGTCTCTACCTTCCACCCTGCTCCATATGCTCAGTTTTTTGGTTGTCACGAATAGGGAGGGCAAATTTGATTCCTGTTACTTTATCTTGGCAAAAGTAAAATTTCCTCATGGTTGTAATTTGTAATATCCTGATGACTAATAAAATTGAATAGGGTTTTCTAAGCTTATTTTCCAAGACTTTATTGTTTACTTTTTTTTTTCTATTTTTTTTTATTTTTTTATTTTTTGACAGGCAGAGTGGACAGTGAGAGAGAGAGACAGAGAGAAAGGTCTTCGTTTGCCGTTGGTTCACCCTCCAATGGCCACCGCGGTCGGCGCGCTGCGGCCGGCGCACCGCGCTGATCCGATGGCAGGAGCCAGGAGCTTCTCCTGGTCTCCCATGGGGTGCAGGGCCCAAGCACCTGGGCCATCCTCCACTGCACTCCCTGGCCACAGCAGAGGGCTGACCTGGAAGAGGGGCAACCGGGACAGAATCCGGCGCCCCGACAGGGACTAGAACCCGGTGTGCCAGCGCCGCTAGGCGGAGGATTAGCCTAGTGAGCTGCGGCGCCGGCCTATTGTTTACTTTTAACCACAAAAACATAATTCATAGAACCCCTTCTATAATCTCTACGATAGCCACACAGATGGAAAGAAAATTTATAATTTTGCTATGAAATTATAGTTCAACTATAATTGTTCATCTGGTGTCAGCTTTCTCATATTTTGTGATTAGTACTTATAATACCTTAGACATTAAAATGTGTCAATTATATGATAAGCAATCCTCCATAGAGCTCAATCAAGAAAAAACTGATTAAATAATAATGCAATGAGTTTTATACTTTTAAAATTTTGGCAGTATTTGAGGCGGCCCCTTATTAACTAGAACTCTACTATACTAGTTATAGTTAATAAATAAGAAAGACAAAGTATACTTAAGTTAAAATACTAATGTTAATAAGTTTTTATCAGAGAATATAATTTAATCACATAAACAAATAGTCTGTATAATTATAAATGAGATGCCCTACTCAGTGCAAGAATCACTGGAGAGTGGAAAGAACAGGTCTTCAAAGAAGGAGGTACCTTTCTCTGAAGGGAGGAGAGAACCTCCACTTTGGCTATGACCTTGTCTAAACAAGATAAGAGTCGGAGAACTCAGAGGGCTTCCATAGCCTTGGAAACTCATGACTGGAGCATAGGGAGATTACTGATGCCATAGACAGGAGTGTCAATTTGTAAAGTCAACAACAGGAGTCACTGTGCACTTACTCCTCATGTAGGATCTCTGTCCTTAATGTGCTGTACATTGAGATTTAATGCTATAACGAGTACTCAAACAGTATATTTCACTTTGTGTTTCTATGGGGGTGCAAACTGTTGAAATCTTAATGTATACTAAACTGATCTTCTGTAAAAAAAAAAAAAAATTATCAATTCCCAACTTGACTCTCACTGGGATTAAACATGACAATAGGTTTGATCTGATTTCATCATCATTTAAAAAATCATCTATTATTTTTCACTTTATGTTCCTGTGTGGGAGCAAACTGTTGAAATCTTTACTTAATGTATACTAAGCTGATCTCCTGTATATTAAGAGAATCGAAAATGAATCTTGATGTGAATGGAAGGGGAGAGGGAGTGGGAAAGGGGAAGGTTGCGGGTGGGAGGGACGTTATGGGGGGGAAGCCATTGTAATCCATAAGCCGTACTTTGGAAATTTATATTCACTAAATAAAAGTTAAAAAAAAAAAGAATCACTGGAGAGAAGACGTTTTGCCATATGTAGGCAGGGAAGAGACAGCTTGGGCCACACAAATGCAGACTTTCCTTCTAAAGGCGAGAATTTCTTGTCTTTCCTTCCTACTCCCAGTGAGTTGTGAGGGATAGGGTGAAAGAAATGCTGTTTCCTGGGGAACTCAATGAATGAATGGAGTTCCAATTAGGGGTCTCAACTTTTTAATCTTATGATCCACTGATTTAACTATTAAGTCTTTGGTCAACTAAGAATGAGTCTATTTGCCTCATGAAACTATCAGGAGAGCACAGTTCTCATTTCCATTAGACTGAGCCCCTGAGACAAAGTAGTGCTCTGTTTTCTGCCAAGTGCTTTACTACAGCTCAGAACAACAACAAAAAATCACTAAATAAACCTCTAGTCCCCAACTAAGACTGAAAACCCAAAACCCACTATTTTATTTTCCAACTCAATTTATATCTTTGTCCAACTAGACCATCAGAGGTTCTGCAATAAAACAAGATAAATTCATAAAGCAATACACTAGCATAATGCCAACAATAGAGAGATGAAGTTAAGTTTAACATGAAACATGTTTTAAATTTCATGAGGGGCAGGCACCATGGCTCACTAGGCTAATCCTCTGCCTGCGGCGGCAGCACACCAGGTTCTGGTCCCAGTCAGGGCACTGGATTCTGTCCTGATTGCCCCTCTTCCAGTCCAGCTCTCTGCTGTGGCCCGGGAAGGCAGGGGAGGATGGCCCAGGTCCTTGGGCCCTGCACCTGCATGGAAGACCAGGAGGAAGCACCTGGTTCCTGGCTTCGGATCGGCGCAGCACGCCGGCCACAATGCGCTGGCCGTAGCGGCCATTTGGGGGGTGAACCAACGGAAAAAGGAAAACCTTTCTCTCTGTCTCTCTCTCTCTGTCACTGTCTAACTCTGCCTGTCCAAAAAAAAAAAAAATCTCTCTCTCTCTCTCTCTCTCTCTCTCTCCTTCTCTCTGTGTAACTCTTTCAAATAAATAAATAAATCTTTAAAAAAAAATTTAAAAAAATATTTCACGAGGAAAAATTAAAGTCCTCAAATTTTTTGCAAGTTGATGTCTAAGGAATTCAAATTCAAAAAATTGATTTATCATACACTTCTAAATTAAATTTTAAAGAATTTAAATCAACGTTTATTCTCTGCAGTTTTATACTTATAATTGCATAATTGTATCCAAGCAATTTTTTTTTTCAACAAATACGTATTGAGGGGGTGGCAGGGCAAGGCTGGGCTGAGGGAAGCGAAGCAGGAGGGCAGAGTCCCAGTGGCCAGGCTCTAGCCAGAGTGTGCAGCAACCCAGCTTGGGGCCCGGCTAGGGGGCAGCAAGTGCCCCCCTGCGGGGGGAGTGTCAGTGCAGGGAGGGCACAAGTCCCCTGGGTGTGGAGCGGCTGTAGCAGTAAGACTGGGTCCGAGATCAGCCCCTGGGCCCGGTCTGCTCGTGATACAGCCTCAGTGGTGCTCCTATGAGGACTGCCAAGACCCTACCTGTCCAGGCTCCTTCTGTCCACAACTCCCTCCCAGGTCCGGCTGCCGACTTGTCGGCCACATCACACGAGTGCGTGGCCCCGGGGTGTCCGGTGCCTCCCGCTAGGGCTTGTTCTTGAAGTGGGCTTCCACTGCGTACTCCCGGGGCAGCACGGGTCTGTCCACCTCCTGCAGGGCCGACCCTCCGTCTCACAGGTGGACAGGAACTTAACATTTGGGCGAGACGATGGTGACGCCGTGTGCGAGTGGTGTCCCCGGGAGAACACATCCAGCACCGTGTAGCGGCTCTCCTTGCTGCCAATGAAGACCTCTCCGCAGGCGAGGGCGTCTGGGGGGAGGTGGCCAGGGGGCTCTGAATGGCCATCATGGTGAACCGGTACTTCCAGAAGCCTTCGCGGCTTGGGCCCTCGGCACCGGAACTGCGTCACTGGCCCCGGGACGCCACCTGCAGGAAGCGCGTTGAGCCCGCCCACCATCTCCCCCTCCTCATGGCCATGCAGATGAAGGTGTTGCGGGTGCTGTTGTGACCCGCAGGCCGGCCTCGTTCAGGTGCTCGGTCTTCTTCATGAGGGCCTCCTTGGTTTCGTTTTTGTTGAAGTACTCAAGGCCCCAGTCCGGCTGCTCTGGGCACAAACTTCCGGCTTAGGGACTGCCGGTGGTCCCGGCTGGGCTTCCACAGAAAGCCCTGTCCATACGGCAGAGTGGGGCTCCTGCTTCTGATCAGGGTGGGTGAACTCCTGATTGCTCTGTGAATTGCATATGGTCCTTTCAGAATTCAGTTACTTTGATACCAGATCTCTGATTCGGCTCACTTTTCAAATAGTTCACATTTTTTTTTAAATATACACAATATTATCAGCTTATTAAACCCACTGCCATAAAGTTTAGAAAATGCTGGTTCCCAGCTCAAGAGCAGTTATTCCAGCCAAAATTATGTTTCCAGAATCCATCACTTAGTGTTGTCGAGGACAATAGCAAAAATTGTGTGGTATTTCAGTGCCTGAACATAGGTGGAGAAAATCTAACTTTTGGCCTCGGATGCTAACTTGTGCTAAAGTCTGGGATTTATGGCCTGAGAATTTATTCTCAGCTTGGTAAAACAGTTCAGGGAGAGAATAATTTTGGTATCTTGTATTTGGGCAGCTGGCATGGTTTGCTTACTAGCTCTTGTCTCTCAGCGATTGGTATTTAGGGATCCTACTGCCTTTCTGAAAAGTTGGAAATTTGCTCTAGTCTTAAAAGGAATACCTTTATCTCTCATGCATTATGTACAAAACTGCCAGTTGGCCATGGTTCTCATCTTCTGGCAACTTTGATCTTATCAGGAAAGGTGTACAGGCTGCTATGTGAGTTCTCAATTTTTGGCAGTATATTTTAACCACTTAGGGATCTTCAAACCACAGATACCAGCTCTGCTATCAAGAGGATCTACAGCATGATGAGAGCTTTGGGAGTTTTAGTGACTACACAGGTGATTGTAGTAACTACACAGCCAAGATTGAAAATACCTGCTTTCCTCTGGTGAGCAGAGATATATTCATGTTTGGGCTTCTCTGACAGCTTCTATCACTTCTTGCTTTAGAACTGACATGGGGCAGATGCCGTGGCTCAATAGGCTAATCCTCCGCCTTGCGGCGCTGGCACACCGGGTTCTAGTCCCGGTCAGAGCGCCAGATTCTGTCCTGGTTGACCCTCTTCCAGGCCAGCTCTCTGCTGTGGCCCGGGAGTGCAGTGGATGATGGCCCAAGTGCTTGGGCCCTACACCCCATGGGAGACCAGGATAAGTACCTGGCTCCTGCCATTGGATCAGCGCGGTGCACTGGTTGCAGCGTGCCGGCCGCGCCGGCCGTTGGAGGGTGAACCAACTGCAAAGGAAGACCTTTCTCTCTGTCTCTCTCTCTCACTGTCCACTCTGCCTGTCAAAAAATAAAAATAAAAAAAAGAATTGACATGGGTGGTGAAATCTATCTCCTAAGAATATTTTCTCCTTCAACACTGCATTTGTTCCAACTGGAAAAATCTCTTGCTGCAGACACCTGTATTGGAGCTGATGATGATGTTAATAAAACTAGTGGCTCAAAAGCCTGATGAGGACCTATACCTCTGCTTGAGATATTAGCACTCTTGCAGTGTGTAAGGCTGTGTTTTTATTATGAATTTTTGCCATCAGTGTCAAAATTTGTTTATGATTCCATCTTTGTTGTTTTTCTTTCCGTTCAGTAAGTTACAGGGGAGCTCCAAATCGTTTAATGTTTTTAAAATTAGGCCATTTTTCTATTTCTCCATGTGTAACGCAAGCTCCATTTCATGAATTTCAGTGTACTTTTTTTTGTGTGTTTTATTTGCAATCCAAAGGTTCACTTTTCTAAAATATACTTCTAGATGTTACTACTAAAGTATACTCTGTGTCCTCCTGTGGTAACAAAATCTTGAGTGGACCAAATGCATCTACTGTTTACCTAATCTTTGCTCAGTGATACCTCCAGGAATTAGATTCTTCTACCCAGAAGGAATGACTTTTCTGTCAGATCAGCATCCAACTCAGGCTTCAACAGCTATATCCTTTATCCTTTCCCTCCCTCATTTTCAGATAAAAATCCACCATCTTTGTTACAACTTCTGCTAAGGCCATAATTCCGTAAATTACTTAAGCATATTCCTTTAACAAAAAATATTATACCCATCCCTATAGGTAAAGAAGAAAACTTTCCTCTCATATTTTTAGTGTTCTGTAGTTATCATGCATATTTCTCCATCAAATCCACCCAGGAATTTTGTAAACTCTCACTTTACTGTCCAAGTTCTTAAGGGATGTTTGTCTAATTACTCTTACTACAGACTATCTGTGATACTGAAACAATGCTTCTCAGTGGAGATCCAAGCCATGCTTGCCTTTGGTGAAGTCCTGTCAAACTGCTCTCTGATAATGTGCCTATCTTCTCCTGTGTCATTATTTGGGATCCTATTCTAGCATTCTTCTTCACCTTTTTTCCACTAGGAACTTCATCTTTCAATTTCAGATAAGTCTGGCTAGTTGTTAAAGTTGTAGTCATTCTTCTAAGGAAATTCCTCTTTGCTAGCTAATTCAGTATTTAATTTTCACTTGATTTTCCTTTGCTTGTCCTTTCTCTCTTCCTCCTCCTTCCCTTCACTCCCCCTCCCCCGCCTTAGAAAGATTTCTTGTATTTATTTGAAAGGCAGAGTGACAGAGAGAGATAGACATCTTCTATCCACTGGTTCACTCCTCAAATAGCCACAACAGCTGGGAGCTAGCCCAACCCTCCTCTTTTAATGTTAAGAATTAAGCAAGTCTTCAAACTAATCCAGTTCCAAATGGATTTCCTGAACAGATCTGACCTTTTGAGATAGAATGCTGCAATATCAGGACTCTCAGTTTCTCCTGTGCCTTTAGAATTGTAATCATTTTACTGAGTTGTTTGCTTAATTGAACCCCAAAAATGGCATATTTTCTTTATGCTGTTTCCTCATTCATTTTTATTTCTTTATCAAAAAAATTTCATCTTCTACGAGGGAAACTATATTTATGATCCTGGATATCTAATCCTGATGCCACTAGTTATGTAATTAACATATCTAGATCCAAGTTGAGACCATAGAGTTTTGTATGAATAGACCCCAATATCCCATATTGTTCCCTCCAAGTTTCTCCCTTGCACAGGTGACTAGTTCAGTAAACATAAAATAAAAATTCAGGTTTGTGTAGTCTATATCTGTTGCATATTTGAGGTTGCCACTAATAATTTTCTATAAGCCTGGCGTGATTTTCCATTGCTTCAAATATACCTGCTGCATAACTGATGTGCTTTTTATCATTCAAACTATAGCAATTTCATAATCATATAAAAATGACGTCCATTTAGTGAGCATCTTCTCTGTACTAGGTATTGGCATTTACCTAAATGGCCACCAGTTAGGTAAAATAATTCTTATTAATAACTTATATAGCAGGTTTTGTTATCCATATTCAAAACTCATTGAAATAGACTTATAAATGTTAATAAACTGGTACCAACACACAGAGCCAGGGATTGGTGAAGCCAGGATTCAAATCCAATCCTGTAAAAGAAACGAATATTCATGAGTACATATGCAAAATTGTTCATCATAATGTCCATCAAGACTCTGGAGAATCATCTTGCTCACGCTACAGGACAAATATGAAAACATTCACAGATCAGGTGGGGAACATCTGGCCCATGGGCCATTTAAGGCCTGCAAAATCATTAGGTCTGGCCTTCCAAGGCAACTGTGGGCAGGATTCAAAACTGAGTAAACCCACAGAAGGCTAATCTTTAAATTGATAATTTTGTATGACCCACAAATCCTATTGTAAATATCCAAATGGCCTTTGGCAGAAAAATGGTTCCCCACCCCAATGGAGCAGTATGAACTTGAACTTGGAGAGTGACAGCAACAGAGGCATTTCAAAGAAAAAGAATCTCTCCATATTATTCAAACAATTAAGCAAGCATGAGCCCCCAGATTTTAAAGAAACCCTTTTTGAGTATTTCTGACCTTCCAATGACAATTTGGAATCCTGTTAGAAATGAAATTTCCTAGATTTAAGAGTCTTTCTTATCTTGTCTCCCCCTCCCTAGGTTTGTTAAGCCGTAGAAGAAACCTGTGTCTCTGAGGGGTGTATGGTTTACAACATCTCTTAAGAAAAGAGATGCAAATGATAAGGTGAGGTCTTGGTCTCTTTCTCTGGGGGTTGTTGGAGAAATAATTATTCTAGAAAGAGATGAAAGGATATAACTGTATACCTTTGGAAGCCTTGGAATTCTAATGGTGACTTTATTCCCTGTAGGAAGAGAAAGAAGGTATGTGGTTAAGTGCCTTTAAGATAGTATCCCACAGATTGTTATGGTTGCCTACTATAAGCAAAGAAATAAAATGAAAATTATCCCATTCACATCTCATATAATTTTTTAATCTGTTCTTCTTAAAGAAGTTATAATCACATACAGAGGAAACACCACTTGTAACTCATATCTCGTAAGCTGAGATAAGAAATAATGATCTGGCTGGCACCGCGGCTCACTAGGCTAATCCTCCGCCTTTGCAGCGCTGGCACACCGGGTTCTAGTCCTGGTCGGGGCGCCGGATTCTGTCCCGGTTGCCCCTCTTCCAGGCCAGCTCTCTGCTGTGGCCAGGGAGTGCAGTGGAGGATGGCCCAAGTGCTTGGGCCCTGTACCCCATAGGAGACCAGGAGAAGCACCTGGCTCCTGCCTTCGGATCAGCGAAGTACGCCGGCTGCAGCGCGCAGGCCTCGGCGGCCATTGGAGGGTGAACCAAAGGCAAAGGAAGACCTTTCTCTCTGTCTCTCTCTCTCTCACTGTCCACTCTGCCTGTTAAAAAAAAAAAAAGAAAGAAAGAAATAATGATCAAATAGTGACCTATTCTTAATAATGATCATTTCCTAAATCTGCTCATTGGTTATTTTAATTATTTTCAAATAAAAGTAGTAGATACTGCTCTTATAAATGGAAGGAAATGGAAAGAATGATCAATTATGGCTTGCCCAAGATTACAAAAAAGAAAGTTATTGAAGTGTTGGTTTAATTTTATTTAATCTAAATTGAGTTTTTTACAATGAAATTTCCTGGTTATTTCCAACTGTATATTCCCTTTTTTTTCTATGTGTTCTTGTGTCAGATGAGCCACAGTTGCATTTTTAATACATCACATAAATAAGCAAATGTAGCAACTCCTCTGGAGGTATTAGAGAGAATAGAGGTAAAAGAAATCATACATAATGTTAATTGTTGTATCTTTGTTTTATACTTGAGCAGATCTAGTATTACCGGCTGAATTGTGTCTCCCACAAATTCATATATTGAAGTCTTTTTTCTTTTTTTTTAAGATTTATTTATTTTATTTGAAAGTCAGAGTTACACAGAGAGAGAAGGAGATGCAGAGAGAGAGAGAGGGCTTCCATCTGCTGGTTCACTCCCCACTTGGCTGCAATGGCCAGAGCTGTGCCGATCTGAAGCCAGGAGCTTCTTCCGTCTCCCACATGGGTTCAGGGGCCCAAGCCATCTTCCACTGCTTTCCCAGGCCATAGCAGAGAGCTGGATCAGAAGTGGAGTTGCCAGGTCTCAAACTGGCACCCATATGGGATACTGGCATGCAGGCTGTGGCTTTAAGTGCTATGCCACAGCGCTGGTCCCCATATGTTGCAGTCTTAAAATCTAAGTGCCTCTGAATGTGACTTCATGAGGAAATAGACCCTCTAAAGACATACAAAGAAAATGAACTCATTTATGTTGGCCCTAGTCAATATGGTTTGTATCCTTAGAAGAGGATTTTAAGACATGAGTATACAGATCAAGGATTGACAGGTGAGGATACAGTGAGAATCAGCCATTTAAAAACCAAGAAATAGGAAACTAAATCCAGGTCTCCCAGTTAGGGTGACAGGAATCCAACTACTTGAGCCATTACCTGAAACCTCCCAGGATCTGCATTGGCAAAATGTGGAGTCAGGACCCAGAGTTAATAACTCAGGTACTCTTATATGGAATGCAATTGTTTTAACCAGTGTCTTAATCACTAGGCTAAATGCCCACCACTAAATTTACCTTTTAATTCCATTTTTCCTTAAACTTTTTTTGAAATACTCTCATATTATCATGGTATACTTTAAAAACTGACATTAGCACATTATAATAAATTCCAGATTGTTAGGGAAGAATAATTTATATTAGATACAGAACAAAAGGAAGGGAAGATATGTTGCTTTCAGAAACAAAATGGTAAAATTCAGAAAGGAAAGAATAAATGTAACTTAGTAACTAGATAGATATTTAGGAAAATCATTTTAAAGATATAGCAGAATGAGATTTGGGAGGTTCAGTTACTACTAGATTTAGATTAGCATGCCTAGAGTAGAGGATGTATTTATCTCATCCAAGAGATATTTTAGCCAAAAAAGAAAAAAAAATAGCAAAAAGTAGTTAATGGATAAATGACTATTCCAAATAAAATAAAGACACGTTTTTAAAATAAACCTATTAATCTAAACTAGAAGGTAGAAGAATTATGGTATAGTATATGGCATGAACTCGTTTGGATGCCATAACCTTCTTGGGATGCAAGTTATAGGGCTTAGCATGGTTTGGTTCCAAAGCTTATAGCTTGATTGCCTCAGAAAATCCTAGTTTAAATCTGTTTTCTAGACATAATTATTAATATTGTCTCACTTACAAACATGTCTTATTTGGACAATAAATTACACCTACACTAAGTATAATAAATTATGGAGTCTTGTAACTCTGGAATTTCCAGATGAAGCCATCCCTGAGACACAAAGCTTGAGAATGTGGCTTCATAGCAGCGGGATACAGCTGAACGGGTCATTTTATCAATAGCCCAATATCAACCCGGAATGAGGAATATCTCTTCCAAGGTCACAGTGTGACAAAATAGATCTGGAAGCTGAATATTTCGCTTCTTCTTCCAGAGACAAGAACAAAAAGTATTTTTACATGTATTTAAGTTGAAGGAGGAAATAAAAGACAGCAGTGGAAATGGGTCTTCGATGAAAGATCACTTTTGGAGGAGTTCATTTAACCACATGGCGCTGCTGACTGAAAACAATGAAGGTGAAAATTATTGTGATTTATATTTTCTTTAACATTGAAATACAACATCTGCACTGCACCAGAGTGGAAAGCTAGTCCCTACCTGGCCACAAGTCTTGACTGTCTTGACACAATTTAAACTTTATTTGAACCTAAGTTGCTTAAAGTGTATTTAAAGCAGAGAAATGGATATCTCCCATCTGGTTATTGTCAGACTTAACCAAAGAGCTTGGAGTATTTTGGGTCAGACAGAATATCAGAAAAAATTTTAGCTTGATTGATTATAATACTATATCCCCCAATATGTCTTTTTTGCACGTAGGTTACATACTGTGTCTGTTTAACTTTCTAAATGGAGCAGTGTATAAAACAAACACAACTGCAGGCTCCGAAAGATGTTAGAAGCACAAAGAAAGTCATATGGACTGCATTCAGCTGAACACAAACTTCAACATCTGGAGGAGTTGAATTTTGATCCCTTGATTGCTTTGCAATATCACTCACAGAAAATCACTCCCTCAGGGCTCCAAAACCCTGGTCAGAAGAAGGGAAAGCACCCTAACAAAATTGCATTGGTTGAATCAAAATGCAATGGCTCATCTCAAAGTGAGTTGGCAAAACTTACAAAGGCAATGTAAGCTGTTGTTAATTCTAGGTCAATACACACATATCTTTAGAAATGCCATTGCTATCCTGCCCAACTTAGTATTATGAATCTGTATATTTTGCTCCTGAATTTTTTTCAAAATATTTAGAGAATAAATTAAAGAGATGTTCTTTTCATGTAATCCCCTTATCTGATTATTTCTATTTCTAGGGCTTTGCCAAAAATTATTGGCTTATGTCATAAATTAGTACTATCCCATAAGTCTATAAAACCTTACTTCAGTCTAAAATCTTGCTTAATATTTTCTAATTTTTAAAAAGATAAATATAAAATTAAAAAGCTTACCTGTTATCTCAGTACACAGATATAACCTCTTTTAAGAATTGATTGTGCATCCTTTGCCTCAGTTTTTTGAGTGGATCCATATACTTATAACTAGTATATGAGCATATATTATATATCTGTGCCTTACATTTTTCTGATTAATATACTCTTACACAATCAAAACATCCTGATTCTAACCTTTCCCATACTGTTTAGATTTCATACTCAACAAATTATCTTACTTCTGATACTGAAAAAAAAAGAGAGACCATTACTTAGAAATTTTTCTAACTTCCCAGCAGATTTACAAAGTTGTCATCATCTGCAACCGTCCTCTCGTTTTGCAATCCTGTTACAGTTGAGAATGGTCCCTTTTCTTTTCCAAAGACAATGGCTCCAACTGTGAATATTTCCAGGTATATATTTTTTCTATAACAACTATGATTCCACTTTCTTCGCCATTAATTGGCTCACTCTTATTGACATTTAACTGTTTTCAGATGTGGAGAGTGTTGTTTCTATAGGTCTCCATTGCATTTTTGAGTTACTCATACTTCTCACTTCATGGGTGACAACCAATTTCATAGTCTTTTCCTTCCACCCTAATCCAGTTCTCCTTTAGTCAGAGAGACCTGGTGCAATCAGTTTATACACAGACAGAGATTTATCCTCGTGTAATGGTAAACTTTATACAGCAAAGTCTCCTTGCACCTGAAGAGGTGGGTTCTGAGGTCGTCAGTGAATGCCTGAAACTGAAGATACAGTTGAGCGTCTTTTTAATTGGGAAGTCTGAAAAGCAAAACTAGTTTTAGATTTTGGAGCATTTTGGGTCAGATTGGGGTGTTCAACTGCTAGTCTATGCAAATATTCCAAAATATTCTGAAATCCTTGTAGTGCCAAATATTTTTCATAAAGTATACTCAATCTGTAGTAATGAATTCTACATATTCCATGTTTTTCTGATATAAATATAACTGTGATAAAATGCAATTTATAAATCAGACACAATAAGAGATTAACAACCAAAAATAAAAGTAAACATGTATAACAATATACTATATAAAATTATGTGTGTCTGTTCTTTTTCTCTCAGCATATCCTGTTATACTGTGCTTACCCTGTGATGATGTGAGATGACACTCTGTCCACTTGATGAGATGAAGTGAAGTGAATGACTAAGCACTTATACACTGTGGAGGCAAAATTCACAGTTGATGGCAACGGCAAACCTAGCACCATTTCTTATTCTTTTTTCACAATTTCACAGATAAAAGATTTCTTACCATAGACCTTAAGAAACTCAGCATATGATTTATCTTATTAAGTTGAAAACTTTTACCTTTTCACTAAGAGGAGCACAAGCTGGTATGTATAATAAAATTTTGAATTAAAGTTAGGACACCAAATGTCTTAAAGAGTACCAAATCAGAGTCAGATAGAATAAGTCACTAGTGTTACATGACATAGTAAGGAGACTATAGTTCACAATAACCTAATATATATATATACTATATATATATATATATATATATATATAGTATGGACAAATAGAAGAAAGAAGCTCCATGCCTCCAAACAAAGTAATGTTAAAGAAGTGGAAATGTTGATACCTGGTTTTGGTCAGTACACTATATATACATACCATAGCCCATAAATAGGTATATTAATTAGGAAAGCATCTTGCCCTGTTCTTAATCTTAGAGAAAGACTGTGTAGTCTTTCACCACTGCTTCTGATGTTAACTGTGATTTTTGTTTTAGGCTGCTCCATCCTACTCATATTTTTTTTTTCTTTTCATTGAGGACATTCCCTTTCATTCCTAGCTGAGAATTTTTCTCCAACATTATTTTATGAATTCATCCAGTGATTTTTCTGTATTTATTAAAATTATCATGTTTTATTATTTAATATATTAATACCATGAACTACACTGATTAGGGGCTGGCATTGTTGCGTAGTGGGTAAAGTTGACACCTGCAATGCCGGCATCACATGTGGACACAGGTTCATGTCCAGCTGCTGCATTTCTGATCCAGATCCCTGCTAATGTGCCTGGGAAAGCAAACAAAGATGGCCCAAGTTTTCAGCCATCTTCCATGTGGAAGACCCAGATAGAGGTCCTGACTCCTGGTTTCAGCCTGGTCTAGTCCTGGCTGTTGCAACCATCTGGGGAGTGAGCCAACAAATAGAAGATTCCTCTCTCTCTCTCTCTTTCTCTCTCTCTCTCTCCTCTGTGTGTGTGTATGTGTGTGTGTGTATGTTTCCCTGTCTCTGTAACTCTGAATTTCAAATAAATAATCTTCAAAAACATATTTTAAAAAAAGAATTCCACATTAATTTTCATATTTTATCTGTCCTCCTTTCATGGGATAAGCCATATAGGGACATGATCTAGTTACTTTTTTATGGATTGATGGATATTTCATCAATTACTATTATTTTGTCAGAGGATTTTTTGCTTGTGATCCAGAAGGATGATTGTACTGAGATTCTCTTTTGATGTCTTTATCAGATTTCAGAATATGTCTGAAATAATAAGATAATCTTAAATAGGCTTTCACATCTTATTTTTTAAAGAGTTTGTATGTGATCACTTCAGCAGCACATATGCTGAAATTGGAATGATACAGAGAAGATTAGCATGGCCCCTGCACAAGGATGACACACAAATTCGTGAAGTGTTCCATATTTTTATACTTGTGTTCTGGGAGAGGAAAAAAATAAAAGTTTGTGTAGAAGTGATTTTCTTTTTTAAATGTGTGTTAAAAGTCACTACTTAAGCCATTTAGGTATAGAACTTTCCTTGTGCATTTTACAAACCATTTAATATCCATAACATCTGATATAATAATCTATAATTTAAATTTTTACCCCTATCATTATTCTAGATTATTGTTAGAAACTCATGATTGATTTGATAGCACTCTCCTTTTCTAATACAATTGTTTAATAATACTGTTTTTAAAAAAGATATATTTATTTGAAAAGCTGAAATGTGATCCCTGTTAAACATAAGAGTGGGAATAAGAGAGGGAAGAGATGTATAATTTGGGACATGCTCAAGCTGACTTGCCCCAAATGGTAGAGTTAAAAACATACCAGGGGATTCCAATTCAATCCCATCAAGGTGGCATGTACCAATGCCATCTCACTATTCCAAGTGATCAATTTCAGTTCACAATTGATCATAATGAAAGGACTAAGAGTCAAAGGGAGCACATAAACAAGTCTAGTATCTGCTAACACTAACCGATGGAATAAATAAAGGGGGGAGTGATCCAACATGGGAAGTGAGATACTCAGCAGACTCATAGAATGGCAGATGTCCTAAATAGCACTCTGGCCTCAGAATCAGCCCTAAAGGCATTCAGATCTGGCTGAAAAGCCCATGAGAGTATTTCAGGCATAGAAAGCCAAGACACTCTGGCAAAAGATCTCTGTGAGTGAGATCCCAGTGGAAAGAACAGGTCTTCAAAGAAAGAGGTACCTTTCTCTGAAGGGAGGAGAGAACCTCCACTTTGACTATGAGCTTGTCTAAACAAGATAAGAATCGGAGAACTCAGAGGGCTTCCATAGCCTTGGAAACTCATGACCGGAGCATAGGGAGACTACTGATGCCATAGACAGGAGTGTCAATTGGTAAAGTCAACAACAGGAGTCACTGTGCACTTACTCCTCATGTAGGATCTCTGTTCTTAATGTGCTGTGTATTGAGATTTAATGCTATAACGAGTACTCAAACAATATATTTCACTTTGTGTTTCTATGGGGGTGCAAACTGTTGAAATCTTTACTTAATGTATACTAAACTGATGTAAAAAAAAAAAAAAAAAAAGAAATTATCAACTCCCAACTTGACTCTCACTGGGATTAAACATGACAATAGGTCTGATCTGCTTTCATCATCATTTAAAAAAAATCATCTATTATTTTTCACTTTATGTTTCTGTGTGAGAGCAAACTGTTGAAATCCTTACTTAATGTATACTAAGCTGATCTCCTGTATATTAAGATAATCGAAAATGAATCTTGATGTGAATGGAAGGGGAGAGGGAGTGGGAAAGGGGAGGGTAGTGGGTGGGAGGGACGGTATGTGGGGGAAGCCATTGTAATCCATAAATCGTACTTTGGAAATTTATATTCATTAAATAAAAGTTAAAAAAAGAAAAGAAAAGCAGTGTAGGGGGGGAGATAGAGACTGAGAGAGAAAGATACCTTCTATCTGCTGGTTCCCTCCCAGATGGACGTAATGATAATGGCCAGGACTGGGCCAGGAAGAGGAAGCCAGAACCTTCTCTCTCTCTCTCTCTCTCTCTCTTTCTCTTTCTCTCTCTCTTTCTTTCTCTCTCCCACTCTCTCTCTCCCTCTCTTTCTCTTTCTCTTTCTCTCTCACTTTCTTCTCTCTCTCTCTCTGGAGCTCCTCCTTTCTGGTACTCTGCCCTACAAACAAGTTGCAACTAACTTGACCTTGCCAACTCTACAACCCATCTCCACATTCTAGCAAGGGTGCCATACTCTGGTTGGGCACCTCTCACACTATTGTACTCTGGGAAGTGCCTGGTACTGTACAGGTTCACATTATTGGTGTGCCGTCTTTCAAGGTTCACAGTCTTGCATTCTCTGAAATCTGAGATTTGAAAGCAATTTTCCATATTTTGTCTAGTTTTGTAAGCATTTAAGTCAGGAGTATAAAACTAGTTTCAGTTATTTCATGTTGCTCAGAGTCAGAAGTCTCTACTGTTTTATCAGAAATCATTTCTTCCATCATATTTTGTAATTTTCATTGATGTGCTTTTTTATATAAAAAGATGTTCAATTTCCCTTTCTTTTCTCTCATTATTGCTCAATGTTGTTGATTTCTTTCAAAAATTCAAAGTCTGTTGTTTAATCTACATTTTTTTCTCTTTTGGTAGCTATTCATAAGAAGCTATGCTAAATATTTTGGTTTCTTTTTATCTGTCAGTGTTTTTTTTTTAAATTTTTTAGTATTGCTGTCTTCATTTCATACCATATAATTACCTTAGCAACTTAACTCTTTGTTCTAGTCTTTCCACTCAACTATCCCTAGTCACCTAATATTATACACTTTTTAATAATTTCAGATCTGAATTGTTATTGGTATAAATTTTTGGTCTGATTTATTTAGGGAATAGTTAACATCATCAAGATATTTCGTTGTCTTTACTCCCTACATCTGTAAAATCTTTCTGTATTTATTTCTCTCTTTGCTGGTATACATCCTACAAAAATACTTTCAAAGAGGGTCATTGTGTGATGGAGTTTCTTAAATGAAGTCTTGTGTGACTGAACACATTATTTCTCTTTTTATTAAATAATTGCTTTTCCGGATCTAAATTTATATTTAAATTTCTTTTAACTCATCACCCTGAAGCTGTTACTCTGTAGTCATCTTTATCTAGCATTGTTCCCAGCTGGTTTCTTTTCCTGTGGTCACTGTTGTACCGTTACCTTACTGAAACTTGTGGAAGTTTCCTTTTGATTTTGACATTTAGATTTTTTTTTAGATTATTCCCAGAATACATCTGTTTAGGGTGGGTCTTTAACATCTTCATACAAAGATGTTATTTACAACAATCATGACTTTTTTGAATATCCAATCATCTCCTATCTGCAGGAGATTCGTTCTAGCATCCCCACCAATAACAAAATATGCAGAAGCTCAGGGCCTTTCATGTAGTACAAATTATTTGCATATAACCTACATACATCCTTTTGCGTACTCTCCATCCTCTCCGCATTGTTTATCATAACTAAGACAGTATAATGACTCAGTAAATAGTTGTTAATGCTGTTATAGAATAGTGACAAGGAAAAAAGTCCTTGCATGTTCAATATAAACACATTTATTTTCAAAATATTTTTGATCCAAGATTGGCTGAATCTGTGGATTCAGAACCTGTGGGCACAGAGGGCTGACCTTATTTTTAAAAGTGGAAATACTGAGCTGAGGATATGTTATGAGGTATTGAGGAGAAAATTACAGCTCACATAGTGGGTTAAAGAAGGTGAGTGAAAAGTGACACAGCCTCGGTCTCATTAAAAGCCAGTCCTGAGTGTAAAATTTATTAGGTTCATTCTGTTATATTGGTCAGTGGAAATCTGTATCATGTTTTGCTATGTACAGTTCTACAATTTTGCCTATAGGCTTTATTATAACTTTCCTTAATGGAAAGAAATTCTATCTGTGATCTGTGAAGTTATTGACTAGAATTTCTAATGCTTATTCCTGTTTTAACCTTTCCTTTGGGATATTTTTAATGAGGAATTTGATAGGAGTATAGGGAAAGGGAAATCAGGCACTGCTAGTTTTTTACCATAAAAGCTTGGACCCCATAAAGTATT